GGGCTCAAAATGGAAAGGCTGACTGTACGTAATAAATTAAATAAGGAAAGGGAAATAAATAAATAACACTAGAAGAAGCGGAAAGAATGAAGGATAACTTAAGTTGAAACCATAATGACCAAGATTGTGATGAGATTAAGTATGCAGAAATGAGAACGTAGCTTTCCTGTAATGATGAACTAAAAATAAAATCTCAGCTACAATTATCCTCTGATTATAATAGATTTGAATGTCGAAGTGTCAATAAATGACCCAAAATACCTTCCTTGGCGTGTAGGAGGATGTGTCACCCCACCTGCTTTCACTATGTGAAGCCGAATTTGAAGGTGAAGGTAAAGACATAGAACCATCTTCTCCATCTTCCAGCGCGGGTCTTTCTTCCACTGTTTTAATATTGAAATTATACGGTGAATCCTCATTCAGCACGTCACTATTGTTCGTACTGGATCGAAGTCGATCAACTCCAGAAGCACCATTTTCGCCATCAACTAACGAACTAGCTTCCATGTTTTTCACATTCCGATTATAAGGCTCTTCCAAAGCTTCAGCTTCTTGCGGAATCATGAACCGAGAATTAGCTGGCATGGATTTAATGGATTGTAATGAAATCATCCCCTGGGATTTCCGAGACATGTTCCTACAAATGTATACATGACAGCAAACTGAGCATTGGCAGGTGGAAAAGCGATCAATATTGAGATAAAAAGACTACTTTTCAACAAAAAATGTATAATCAAACTTTAATAAGGTCCCACGTGAACTACTCATCTAATCCTGGTTAGTAGGTCACCATTGACAAGTTCAACACCAAAAGATGTCTCAATTTCGAAACATCCCAAGCGAATACAGAAAGCAATAAAGTTGGTTCGAATCAATTATACGGATACATTGACTCGGATTTAACCCAAAACCCCTGAAATGAAATCTCCTCGATCTGTATGATGCTTAAATTCCTTAAAAGCTAATTACCAATCAGAGCTAGAACTGCTTCTTCAATAGATCTTGTAGTCTAGAATCGAAAAAAGTGAAGCTGAATTAAGAACATAACTGATGACACCTAATTAGGAAAGGGAAAACATTAAACTCGAGTTCAACCAAGCTTCACCAGTCTTCCAAAACTATCAACATAATCAAAACGAATAACACGAGCAATCCAAAATAAAATTAAGAACATTCATATCCCCAGAAAAGCCACGAAGGTGAAGTCAATACTAACGCATTAATCCAAAATTCATCCTCTTACCATCAAAGAAATGAAAAGGCAAAAACACGAGTAATTACCCCGATCAAATTGGAGGCAAGATCGAGTTCCAAGAACTAAGAAACGAGAAATCTTCCAAGAGCCCGAAAGAATTCAAAATTCAGCCAATAGAAGCTCCGGAAGAGTTGTGTCAGTGAAGAAAGATGGAGTCCAATTCGGCTTCATGAAAACCTAGAAGCCATAGCCACATACAGGTAGGGTTCGCGGAAGAGAAAGATGAAGGTCGATGAGAGGCTGTTTGGATTGCGAGAAAATTTGAACAGAAAATTGTTCAGGAAAATCCAAAGCGTGTAGAGAAGGAGGAGCAGCCTTTTCTGCCTTGCTTTGCTGTTTTTCTCTGCCGGAGAAAAATTTTGTCCTATTGACGATTTTACCCTCCAAACTTTTACGAACTGCCCTTTGTGTCCTGTGGTTCAAGCTCTGTTAATAAATAACTTTTTTAAAATATATATATATATATATATATATATATAATTTATACATTATGGTTTTTTTCTTTAAATTATCAATTGGTCTTTATTATTTTCCAAAATTAAGAATTTAGTTGGTTGTTATGATTTTAAAAAATTGAATTCGGTATTTATAGTTTTATAAAACCTCTTTTTTTTTTTTTTCTCAAATCATAAAAATTAATTCTAATATTTAATTTTTCAAATTTCCAATTTGTTTTTTAAAACTATTTTAGAATTTTTAATTCGGAATTTTAAAGTTCCAAACTACATTTTAAAATTAAATATAGAGTTTCTTCATTTTAGCATTGTTTATTTTATTTATTTATTTATTTATTTATTTATCTATATATATATATATTCAAAAATATTCTTAAACTTTTAAAGTTTCAATAATATCCTTAAACTTCGGTAAAAGGTCTCAAAAATATATTTCACGTTAATTTTGAAGAAAAATAAATAGTATTTTATTTCGAACCCTTAAACGTGTAACCGTGTTTAAAAAATATTTTTGAAATTAAAACAAAAATTATTAATATTCGTATTATTTTTTAAAAAATACTCATAAAATTTTAAAAATAGCATAAATTATCTCCAAATTTTTTAATGTAAATATAATGAGTATTTTTTAAATCTGGTACTAACGAATTTTTTTAATTTTTTTTTTTAAGCTTTTTAAAATATTTAAAAGTATTAATGAAATTTGTGAAAAATTAAAGGTAAACCTTTTTAAATTTTTTTTTTAAATTCAAAAATTAATAAAAAAAAGTATTTTTTAAAAATTAAGTAAATTTAATAATATTGTTAAAACTTTTGAAGTGTATTTTTATTTAATTTAACCAAAATTATAATAATGAGATTTTATCAAATCAATTTAAATTAATAGTAATTTAAACTAAATTCCCTAATATGATATTTTAAATAATTAATAAATGGTTTACTTTTTAGGAAAAAATAATAATAATAATGATTGAGCTTACACTCTTTTTTTTATTGTAAATTTAAAACTTCTTAATTTATTTTTAATGTCATGAGTCAACGATAAGCCATAGCTACTAAATTATTTGTCAATGGATAGTAATTAAATATTAAAAAAAATTAAATTATAATTTCGATCTACATTTTTTTCATTAGTTAAACGGGTTGAGATAGGGATTTTTCGCCCCGCTCAAAATCCCGTCTTACCTCATCTCGTTTCACTTAAAAAATAATATTTTTTTAAGTACGAAAGACGGTATGAATATCAAAATTTGATTGAATTTATTATGATGTTTTGCGATGTTTTCTAATTATTCGTAGAAATAAAAATTGAAATAGGAAGCGAGAATGGGGACGGGAAGGCTTCTTCGTCCCCTCTTCGTAGATATCTCTAAGTATAGGCGACATTAATTTTAAGTCAAACTTTGACTATAATTTTATTATTATTATATATATATATATATATAAAAGAAAAAAAAAAGAAATAATTTGGGATTGGCTGAGTATGTGGAAGGGCAAAATGGTCATTTTGTATAACAAAAACCAACCGGCCGTTGAGAAGGAAGCAGATATCGACGACAAAAATGTCAGCGTTTAATGAAGGGCGGCAGATGGTTAAAAGTTAAGGACAAGATCCGGGTACACATTGCTAATCGTGAAAGCGGGTGCAGATGATTGTACCTCCGACGGGCAACCAACCATATTCTGTTTTTTTTTTTTCCTTTTTTTGTTTAAATTGTCAGTTTCCGACATGTCACGCTGACGTGTCCTCTTCACCGACTATTATGGCCTCCAATTCCACTCTTTTGGGTCCCACATTCTTCCACTATTTATACTCTTCCTCCCATTGGTGGAGATTATTAAATTATTATTTTAAATAAAGTATTCTTTTTAGATTTATAATTACCTTTGTTTATTTCGACCAACATGGCTGGCTATCAGATATAATATATGTTTTAAAGTGTTTTGTATTATCGTCAGCCTCATAATTTTAAAACGTGTCTATTAAGAGAGATTGTCACACCGTTATAAGTAATATTTTGTTCTTCTCTCCAATCGATGTATGATCTCACAATCCACCCCTTGTAGACCAGCGACTCCATTAGTACACTGCTCGATGTCGAACTCTAATACCATTTGTAATAATACAACTACTGCTAGTAAATATTTTCTGTTTTGACCCGTTATAAATTGTCGTCGGTCTCACGGTTTTTAAATGCGTCTACTAGAGAGAGATTTCTACACCCTTACAACGAATGTTTCGTTTCCCTCTCTAAACGATGTGGGATCTCATAATCCACCCCCTGGGGCCAGCGTTCTAACAGGCACACCATCTGATGTCTGGCTTTGATGCCATTGTAACAGCCTAAGCCCACCACTAGTATTATTGTTCGTTTTTGCCCGTTACGTATCGCCAGATGAGGTTTCCACCTCGATCTAGTTCACAACACAATCTAATCTAACAATGGTATCAAAATTAGTCGGGTTGTCGAGTTATATGAACCCCTCTAACTTAGAAATATTGTAACTTGTTATAGTAATGATAAAAATCGAAAGTGTTCATATCAAACTAAATATCTATCGAACAACACATGATTAACAACTGTTGTTTAGTAGGGAGCACAAGCTCCCGAGAGTCATTGACTTTCTCGACCCCTCAAATATTCAACAAGCATAAGTTTCTATTATCGAAATTTGTGTTATGGTCCAACAACCCATACTTAACGATGTATATATAAGACGGTTTATTAAAAACAAAATGTTTCGATGAATTAGAATAAGACATTACTATAGTTACAAGACATTGGTATTATTCTCTTTGTCCATCATAAAGGAATAACTTTTTAACACACAAATTAAGACATGAGTTATTACCCAAAGTAATTAATAATATATATATATATATATTTAAACTTTATATTTTGTCTTTAAAAAAAAATATTTTCTAAAAAAAACAATACTTTGAGATGATTCCCAAGATGATATTACATTAGTATTAAAATTTAAAATATTACTCTAAAAATACCATCAATAGCCCCTATAGCTCAGTGGTAGAGCGTCAGTCTTGTAAACTGAAGGTCTGTAGTTCGATCCTGCATGGGGGCATTTTTTATCCCTTTTCTTGTAGAAAAATATCTCGAACTCTGATTGGTGTTACGATCCTACAAAGCAGTTTCAGTTTAAGCACTTATCTCCCTCTTCATTCCAGAGAGAGAGAGAGAGAGAGAGAAGAACACCAGCTCAGTTTGTTTTAAGGTAAGGAGGCAAAGCCATGTCACCAACAAAAACTTCAAACATTTGTGTCAATGTTCTTGAATTCATAGCTTAGAACTCTGCTTTTAGCCATAACAATGGAATTCTTATTCATATCAGATCAACCCCAGAAACAATCCACTGATTTAAAGAACAACAAAAACACCATTATTGTCACACCCAACAAATTCTAAGAATACAATTCAAATTCTTCGGAAAAAACAGAGGTCTTACAGACACAGATTGGAGCTTCCATGGATGAAGATCAAGGTTCAGAATCGCTTCCAATGGCCGCCACTGCTTCAAACAAGCTCATTCCGACCAAAAACCAGAACTCCGATTCCAGCTCAGCTCAGTTCAACCCAGCTCTGTTCCTGTTCTTCTTGTTCTGTTTTCTCATCCGACCAAAAAAACTCTAGAAAATTCATACTCTAAAATGAAATTCGACCTAAGAATTGTGATTCCAAGTAAATTCCGACTAAAATTACGTTATAGCTGCACACAAGAAAGTGATTGACACACAGATATTTATACAAAATACGATGAATTCAGATAATTTCTAAGATTATCTCAACGACGATCGTCTTCCCGCCGGCCGGCACCGCCGCCACCGGACAAGGACGCCAGTAAATTCAGATGACCCGGAAGGTAATTCCCAACTCTCGCTGCCGATGCTTCTCTAATCGGCTGCTGCTGTTGGGCAAACAACGACGCCGGCTGAGAAATCCCCTGTTCCGCGGCGGCGGCAGCCGCGAAACTCCACACCTGCCCGTAATCCGGTCTGGCCGGAATCGCCCAGTACCCACTCGGACCCACTCCCAACCCATCGTCAGTACCGCCGTCGTCGTCGGCTCTCACACGTTTGCCAAGAAAGAACGGCTGGGGACGAGAGAGGGAGAGAGTGGAAGTAGTGGAAGAGAGAGAGGCGGAGCTGCCATTTCCTCTGACGGAGAGAGAAATGGAAGAGAAATTGGCGGGAGTGGTGCCGGTGCCGGTGGCAGCAATAATAGAAGGCTCTGCTTGACGGAGGAGCCACTCGATGGTTTGGCCATCGGATTTATGACCAAGTTCACGAGTCAGCTGGAAGACACGAGCGGCGCAGATTATGGGCATACGGATGCGACGGCCACGGCCGTCGACCTTGCTGTGGCGGTCCTTGGAAGGGGGCTTTTTAACGGCGAGGGCTCCGTTGGAAGAGGGCTGGTTTTTGTGGGTGTCGATGGCGGCGCCATTAGAGCTGTCGGCAGTTTCAGAATTTGACATGAAGAAGAAGAAGAAGAAGGTGTAGAGCTTAGAAGGAGGCGTTAATGGCGGTAATGGCGGCCATGGCTGATGGCAGAGAGGAAGGAAGGAAGAGGAGATGGGTAATTTGGTAAGAGAAGAGGACTAATGATTGAGAGAAGCAGGAGCTGGTGGAGACAGAAGGAGGGCACATGGGTGGTGGGGTCCACTCTTCATCTCCCCACAGCTCATACTCTCTCTCTCGCAAATACCCCCACTCTCTTTATTCGGCGCTTTACCCCCACGCGCGTAATATGTTAGGTTAAATTCGTAAATACTTATGGTGGTTCATGGGTTTGATTGGTTTGATCGAGTTAGGTTGCGACGTTTTTAGACTTAAAAGTATACCATGACCACAATCACGGAGAAGTGGAAGCTCAAAGATCGACAAGTCTTAGTGTTGTTCCAGTTGATGCTGTTCAAAAACGTGACATTCAACATAATCAAGAAAAAGACGACGACATCATACCAGTTAAAAATTTTCGGCTATGAATAAAGTGTATTTGATGCTATCATATAGATGAATTTAATATGATTGTAAGTCAACTGAATTCGATGAAAATTAATTTTGATGATGAAATTAAAACATTGATTTTGATGTCATCGTTATCCGAGTAGTGGGATATTATTGTTGCCACGATCACCTGAGGATGTGAGAAATTGAAGTTTGATGAAATTCAAAATATAGTTCAACGGGTACGGTGATCTTGTGATTGTAGGCACGTGGATGTTTCTTCTTGACTTTATTATGAGTCAGCGAGTGGAGTCCACGCTCCACCGTTAAAACCGACACGTGGCTCGCTGTTTTGGTAATTTTAAATTCCCAGGTAACTAATCGCAATAACTTATATATTTTTTTTTCAACAATTTAAAAATAAAAATAAAAATAAATTTACTTTACAGTTTCATTCCAGCGTTTTCAAAAGGATAAAGTGAAAATTTAAAATAAAAAAAGGAATAAAGTCAATAAAGTCAATAAAATTTAATAATTTATATGTTATAATAGTTCAAACGAAAGGGCAAAATTGTAAATTCACGAGCTGCATCATCATGTGAATATATAAACAAGTAATTAAAGAAAATATATTTTTGAAAAATAAATAAAATATATGGATGAAAAAACCTACCAATAAATATTTCATAATGATTGAATTATATTCAATAATTTAATACTATGTTGTTGTTTTGTTTTTTTTTAAACACATTTATTTGGTAATCAATTCATTAATTTTAATTTTAATATTTTAAAGACATTTTTATAATTTATGAATAAATAAAAAAAATTGAAAATTGGTTCTCGCTTTTTTAAAACATTAAATGATCAGGAGGAGGATTGTGGGGGTGCTCGGGATTGGAGTTGGTGATCGTAATATCCAAAATATTACAATAAAATGTTATGAGGTTGAGTTTTGAGCTGAATTTTCAAAATTTTCACTTTTAATAAAGAATTTTGTTAATAAATGATATATAAAAATGAGGGATAGTTAATTTATAATAATTAAATTAATTAATACAAAATACCACATGTTAAAATGTAATAATATTAAATATTTAAAATTTGGAATCCTTATTTGCACATTGGCCCCAAAAGATGGGGGAGAAAGCAAATAAGGAGGTTTTGGAGGGGTTTGAAGAAAAATTAGGAAATAAAATTTTGTCATCATTACCCGGAAAACCAATGGTACTTGGGGCAACAAAATCCCGTGTAACGCGGGGTGTAAAGGGAATTCCAAGTCTCCAAATAATTTTTAATAAATAAATTAATGTCGTGGCTTAGTCTCTTTTTGGATTAATTAATGATTAATAATTGATTAATATTTTGTTTTTTTATTAACCACTACAATATATTTATTCTATTATTTTAATGTCACACGGCGATTTTTGAGGATTCTATTCTTCATACTTTTGTATTTTTTTTTTAATTTAATAAATGATAAATCTTTTTTTTATATTAAAATGGGGGAAAATATAATAATACTCTTATAAAGGTGTTAGCGTCTGCGTGACACTCGTTCCTTTCTTCAATTGATGTGGGACTCCCCCTGGTCCCACCAAATCCATCCTCTTTGGGGCCCAACGTCTTTACTGGCACAGTGCCTCGTGTCTACTCCCTTCGAGGAACAAGAAACCCTTATAAAGGGTGTTTTGTTCTCGTGTCTACCCCCTTCGAGGTACAGGAAACCCTCGTGGGTCTCACCAAATCCCACCCCCTTTGGGGCCCAGCGTTCTTACTGACACACTGCCTTGTGTCTACCCCCTTCGAGGTACAGGAAACCTTTATAAAAGGAGTTTTGTTCTCTTCCCCAACCAATGTGGGACATCACAATCCACCCCCCTTCGAGCCCTAGTGTCCTTGTGGCACTTGGGACATCACAATCCACCCTCCTTCGGGGCCCAACGTCCTTACTGGCACACTGTCTCGTGTCTACCCCTTTCGAGGTAGAGGAAACCCTCGTGGGTCTCACCAAATCCCACCCACTTTGGGGCCCAGCGTTCTTACTGACACACTGCTTCATGTCTACCCCCTTCGAGGTACAGGAAACCTTTATAAAAGGAGTTTTGTTCTCCTCCCCAATCAATGTGGGACATTACAATCCACCCCTCTTCAAGGCCCAACAACCTCGTGACACTCGTTCCTTTCTCCAATCAATGTGGGACCCTCATTGGTCCCACCAAATCCATCCCCTTTGGGGCCTAGCGTCCTTATTGCCACACCACCTCGTGTCTACCCTCTTCGAGGGACAGTAAAAAGGTTGGCACATTGTTCGATGTCTATAGCTCTAATACCATTTGTAATGCCCCAAGCCAACCATCAGTAGATATTATCTTCTTTGAAATTTCCCTTTCAAGCTTCCCCTCAATCCTTTAAAACACTTTAAAAATCGTTTGCTAGGGAATGTTTTCACACCTTATAAAGAGTGTTTTGTTCTCTTCTCCAACCAATATAGGACATCATAGGTTAGGTTATTAGGTCATATAAACACCCATAATTTCGACATGTTAAACGTCTTAGTGTTTTTTTTTTTTTTTTTTTAATTTCAAGAATTATTTTGATATATATATTTTTTTAATGAAGGATAAAATTTAAAGGTATTTCAAACAATTTTCCAATTATTTTTTTAAATATGGAAAGAGGTAATTTATTTTGTTGAGTGGGGCAAAAATGTAATTACAATTATTTGTGATTAAGCGAGGGAGTTTGATCTCACATCCAACAGACACACAGATAATGATGTCTTTAAATTTGAAATTATGACAATCGACAGCTCCATTTCCACGTCGTACAAAGTCCGACATGTCGTACACCATTAGATTTATAACCACGTGCTTCTTTCTCTCTTTTTTAACTCAAGTTAACTCGATATAAAGATAATAAAAACGATATTGATAAGGAATAAATTAAAGCGAACGACTCTATACCGAATGACATGAAATCAACTCAAGAAAAAACTTCGATACTAAATGATAAGTAATCACTGCATGAAAAGTAAGATTCAGATTACACGTTGTTTATCGAATATCTCAAGGCAAAAATACTTGTTTGAGATTCGAATAACTCAACAAACAAGATCAATCATGTCTAACTCAAATGATTCGAAAAATACAATTTAAACTACATATAATTGCAAAGAAACAGCTAATGTAAGAAAAATATTCAGATTATCTCGTTGATCAAATGTCTTAAGACAATAACACTGGACTGAGATTCAAATCACTCCATAAATAAGATCGATCATATTAAGTTTGAATGATTTTACCAATGCAATCTAAACTCCCTCACATTCGAAAAAAAAAATATAATATTTACTAAAAGGAAAAAAATGTTTTTTTTTAGTAAAATTTTCAAATCTGACTCCTCAAATTTAAGAATATTTTAAAATTAGTACACAAATTACAGCAAATAAATGCGGCCCATTAGGCCGTTATATGTTTGTTGGGCCTAATTTAGTAATGACTTGGCCTAATATGGCGACAATTAGAAGATCGAACTCTCATCACCGTACAGACTCCCTCTGTAGACTTTCGAGCATCGGAGCTCTGTGTCACAACTATAGTATGAAGAGAGTAGGTTGTGACCCTCACGCCATGACAAGCAAAGGGGCGTCCCTCAAGAGACGCCCCATTCGGCCAATGCGGGCCAACATAGAAGAATGTCATGATGCGATTGAGGAAGACGATGCATCATCCAACACACCACCACGCAAAGTGGGTATTGAAGATATATGTTGAGACATAAGCATAACAGAGACATCAGCATAGACATGAAGGACAAGATAGGCTTGTTGAAGGGCCAGGTAGGGTCCCGGGCCTTAACCTCAAAAGTCAGGGTTTCGGAAGGAATTTGGGCATGAAATATGAATGCTCGTCAAGTTTGGTGTCAATCGGACATTGGACGGACAATGCACGACACCGTATGACACCTCACCAAAATAATGTCTACACTTGATAGAATGAAAATGGCTCAAAATGTACGATAGGGGTACCATGGTGTTAGTTCTCCACCACCCCTGGGTCCTTTGGCCTAAGTGAGTTACCTTGTGGCACATACGTGTGTCACAGTGTGGGCGAGCGTGTTGAGACGAGTGTCTCGGGAGACTTCCTTTGAAATGGATTTTTGAAGGACAGTACCGGACGACACAGGTGTGCTAGTATTGCGCCCTAGCCCGCGTGTTGAAGGTTGCTACATACACCCGCTATCCGGGACGGTATCTGTAAATGGCTCGGCATGGGCACGGGAGGGCCTATGCCTCGATAGAACCCAGATGGATGGATGTTTGGGAAGTCCCGATGAGATAAACGACACGCGGGCCCATTCTCGATGGCATGACGACATGAGTTATGATGGCCGACGACATCCCGAGACTCGGGATGGCGCCAAGACATATGGACCCTATCGATGGGGATCGAGATGACAAGATGAGATGCGACGTTATATTGAGAGACCTTGGCCCGAGTAGAGGCAAGGTCGAGCCGAATGAGTTGGTCTAGCGTAGAGGCAAGTCGGATGTGTCGCAGATGATTGAACATACACGCACAGGCGACGTATGTGGTTGAACAAGCTTGAATTCCGCACAAGCGATGTTCGATTGGCGAAGACAAAGCTCGCCTAAGGTCCGACGAAGCCACAAAGCCGGGGCGAAAAATACATATGGGGCTTAATTCCCCTTAAGGCTAGTCGTGAGCGTGTATGGATCACAACGCCGCACGGTCAAGAAGGTAGGACCGTCACACTCTGCGACTACAGGCAACGCCGTTTTCCTACATTATCACCGGCTGATCTGTTCGTAATCTACGACGATCCGGGGAGATTTTTTTTCTAGGTAGGCTTTAGCTTTGCGATCAACATGAACACAACCCTAATTCTTCTTCATTTCTTCAACGATTATTGTAACCCTTAATTAGCGCTTCGATATTGTTTTTCTTCCTCCATTGTCTGTGAACTCTGATTCATGTTTGTTTTCTTGTTTTTTTAGGTGTGATTTGTTTTCTTTGTGTAGAATGTTTTCCTGGGATTGCTTACTCGTACTATTTTCAGGTGGTTTTTAACTTAATACATTACAATTACTCGAGTTTACATTGGTAATCTGGATCCACGCGTTTCAGAGAGGGATCTTGAAGATGAATTTCGAATGTTCGGTGTTCTTAGGAGGTGATTTCCGTTTGAAATTAGAGGCCGCCTTCATATATATTTCTTAAATTGAAACATTTTGGACGAGATATTTACCGAATCGGTTGAAATGGGAAATATTCATGGGTTCTTTCTGTATTGTACATAGTTTTTTTATTTCGCTAAGCTATCTATCCATGGCGTTTTCACATGGCCAAAGTTAGATATTCTGGCACTCGGCAGGGGATGCAGAAAGCCTTACTCTCTTTGAATTTTAGAACCTCTGTTTTTAATCTGAGTACTATTGAAGTTGACTGGTTTCAGCCTCTCAGCAATGGGAGTTCAGTAGTTACGCTTTGCTTTGTACATAAGACCCTGAGACATAGACTCTTTAAGATATGTCCTCTAAAGTTTGCTGATGGCTATCCTTGAGATCGGTGGAACCAATGTGCATGCCTCATATATTACCTCGACAGAATGTCAGATGTTCTACGGTTTATTTCATTGGTAGAATGGAAAGAACTAAGCGAAGAGGGACCGGCGGATAATGAATAGGAAGATCGAAAAGTTGGAAGAAGAAAGGATTTTTTGGTTAGACGTATGGAATTAGCTAAGCATTTTATTCGAACAAATATAGAACCTGAATGGATGGTCTTATGTCTATTACCTGTTCTTCATCCCGAGTTGAGTCTGATCATTCAGATATGCTTCATGGACATTTATTTCGTAATTGCATATAAACTATTAAGATGAGCTAGCTTTAATTTGAAAGAATATATATGTTCCCTTGTATCTTTGTCTTAAGCTGCATTCTGAATTATTGGTCTTTGAATAAAATAATACAGTGTGTGGGTTGCTAGAAGGCCTCCAGGATATGCATTTATTGAGTTTGATGATCGCAGGGATGCTCTAGATGCAATACAGGCATTGGATAGTCAGTTTTAAAAAATATTTCTTGTACTTGTAGATATCAAGTTGTGCCTTTCATTCCTTCTATCAAATGATATTTGTTTTCTTATGTATATATATGCAGCCTTTTCTTGTATTATCAATCTACTTTCATTACGTGTTTTTTCCTCAGCTTTATCTGCCATCTAGTTTTCATTGGCGCAGTGAACTAAAAATTTATAATATATATAGTTTAATATCAATGCAACCGCAAAACTGAACTAAATCTTGGAAATTATAGTCGATCCTTAATCCAAGTCAAATGTGGTCGTTTTCTAGTTCCTAGGGCTTATAGGATGACCCCTTATCCTTCATTCTTATTTTTATTTCCTTTGAGTTAAGTCTATCTTATCTTTTATGTGTGATTTTTTTGGGTTCTTGTAATAGGGAAAAATGGTTGGCGTGTGGAGCTTTCTCACAACTCTAAAGGCGGTGGAGGTGGTGGTGGTGGTGATTTGAAATGTTATGAATGTGGTGAACCTGGTCATTTTGCTCGAGAGTGTCGTTCTCGTGGGGGCTCACGAGGCATTGGAGGTGGCTTGCGTCGTAGTCCTTCTCCTCGCGCCGCAGGAGTCCAAGTTATGAAAGATATGGTCGCAGGTGCATCAAAGCTTTGTTTGTGTTTTTAAACACACCGAGTTATCTAAACCAACAAGTGGTTTCATATAAAGTTTAGGTTTTGATGTTTTATCACACTTTTATCTTTTCCCTTTTCCATGTAGGAGTAATAGTCCTCGTGGTAAAAGATCTCCACGACGTCGCAGCATTACACCTCCTAAGCGTGGTCGGAGTTACAGCAGATCTCCTCCACTCCGTCATGCTCGCCGTGCCTCACCTTATGCTAACGGGTATGCCTGATTCCTAATAAATGAAAACTATTCACTAAAACTAGTTAGGTAGTTCCTGTAGGGAGGACTTAATTGCCTTAATTGGGTGTTTTTGGTCACATTAACCTTCGGTAATTACTGGGAATTAGTGCAGTAGACCAAAGCTATCTTTGGGGCCTATTAAGTCTCCCAAAATTAAGTGAGAAATGATTCTCTACTACTAATTAATGTCAATACATACTTGATTGAGCAATATATTCCATAACTTCTTCTTTAGATACAAATGCATCCATCTTAGAGCTGCATGATTATCATTATTGCAGAGATTGATCCCGGAATCGAGGCTGATGCTGTGCTTGTAGAAATTAGATGATGGTGTTTCTGCTATACTGTAGTTCTATTAGGAATTGTGGAATGAGGCGGAATCATGTAGTTAAGTTCGTCTTTGACAATTGGTTCTCTTTGAAACCTGGATTTGGATGGGTGTCTACCAGGTGTTTTAAGCCACCAAATGGCGTTCTGTCTGGAACCGTTTTGTGTTGGCTCTCTTCTACCTGCTGAAACTCGGAGGTCGCGTTCTTGCTTTCAAAATGATATCTATTCCCTAGAATTTTATACCTACCTCTCTCTATATGTTTATTAGTGTTTCTTTTTCATTGGATGTCCCTAAAGATTTATCTGTTGGCTGTTTTTTTTTTTTTTTTTTTGAGGTGTGATTTTCGGCTATAAATCGCATCGCTACTCAGCTTCCTGCATCTCTGTGCATCACGGTTCTCAATATCTGCTCTGCTCCTCGATCATCTTCTTGTCACTGCAACTGGTTGCATGCTGTTTGTATTGCACTCTTACTGCAAGATGGCTGCCTATATAGTTAATCCTTTTTAGCTGGTTGAGGAAGATGAAGCTGTTTTCTTGTGATTTTCTGCTCACCATCTTCTCGTCTTCTATTGCATGCACGTAGCTATTGTGAGCGATTCTACTCGTTTTATAACGTTGGCATCTTGTGAGCTTCAACTTGTTTCTTGCTTCCACAACTTCTGCCTTGCTCCTTCAATTGCACTTCATAAGTTAGAGACCAACCTCCAGTGATTTGCTTTTAGATGGTGAGGCAGCTATCTTCTTGGTTCCCGGCTCTGTTGTATGTTTAATCCTCATTTGTTTTTGGTTAGAAGGTCGAGGTGGGAATTGGAATGCTTATTCATATTCTTTGACTGTCTGTTCTTTGTTCTTTGCGTAGATAAACTTGCCAAACTGACATAAACAAAGCAGACATAAGAAGCATTGTTATTTTGGATCATTTATCTGTTTAGTTTTAATTTTAATTTCTTCTTGATGTTCTAGTATGTATTGTTGTTTACATCATTGGGAGTTCAACAACCCAAATTTTGTTCTGAAAAAGAGATTCAGTTTGTAGAAACTTGAATATCTGTTAACATTATCTTGAATAACCCAAATTTTGAGTCTGAACATTGCACATTTTCTTGAGTTATAGAAAATTCAAGGATGATCCAATGCTTCCATTGCAAATGAAGCGTTCATTCCTACTTGTATTTGCTCGTTATGTCTTGGTAAGCATTATAAATGTTTGATAAGATCCAATTTGTACAGTTACGCTCCTGGTAAGCGTTATAATAACTTGGAAGCTTCAATTGAGAATTTTAAGCTATTTTGACCAATAAAAGGTTCGACGTATCTTGGTAAGTTATGCATCGATGTTAGAGAGCAGAAGGGGAGGGCGTTGTGTTTAGAATCAAAATGATGAAATGAAGTGGGACATTGCTTTTGAAGGACTTGAGACTCAGTGATGCATATGACCGGTAGAATTGCATTGAACATGAAATGAAGTTTGAGGATAAAAGAACCGTTCGATCGTTGTGGTCGGACTCTATTATAGATTCTTGACCACATTCTCCATAGGGCCCTCTTATCTCTTCCTTCTCCGAGCTCAGGTTAGGGAAGAAGGAACCGAGAAGAAAATATCAACAACATTAAGTTTTATTACAGGACAACTCAAGATAGATCTATTATGCGACTCTGCATTGGGTGAGTAGACCTCATACAATAACTATCCTAGCTTTACCGTATCTATTGTTTCATTTCTTCTGGAAAAATCACGAACACTTATTAGATTATGGATCTACCATTTCCATAAGGTTCAAAGAAGTCATAAGGAAGAGCGAAGAAGTATATTGAAACTTGAGGCTTGAGTTCTACTTAATGTTGAAGCTCACCACGATCGTCGAAGACATTAGTTGAAAATGAAATGGGAACTGCCCTATTTAGGGGAAGAAACCAGCTCAAACATAGAAAGAGCTAAATATAATTATTTAGGCATTTAGGTTGTTCATTCAACCTAGAACATCCAATGTTCTTACAATGAAAAACAGGTGGAAAATTGTGGGGAAAACAAGAGCTATTTCTACTATTCATAAAACTTGAATAAACTTTATGATGCTGATCATAACAAAAGGCAGCTATAATTCTAACTCAGACGACATCATCACGGGGCTCTAGTTTAAGCCAGATGGTTCAGGATGAAAGATGGTGCTCAATTAGATTTTGAATCGATGATCTTCTTTGCAAAAGAAGGCAAGCAGAAAGCTGCTGAATGAATCTGAAGAAGTAAACAAGAGAAGCTTTAGTTCAAGTTAAATGAAAGGACACTGAATATAAGCAAGTTTGAACGGTGACAACGGAGCCCACCTCGGAGTTGTAAAACTTAAGCGAATTGTTTGGGGTATCGATGCCGTTCACCTCTACTGGGTTGACTGGATGCTTGAAATCAACAGGAGGTCCCTCGGTCGAGCAGAGCATAAACCCGATCACTCCGCTGAAACATCAACCAGATTTGTGTTTAGAGAAAGCAACATTCAAGACGAAGAACAAACGCAGCATTAGAAATCCCATGTTCTCTTTTAGTGCAAGTTCTATGAGGACTGATTGAATAGAAACCAAGAGTGAGTGTCTATTGCACTTGACCGTTGATAGGCGGAGCGAGGGAGTATCAATCAAGAGTGACTGTCTATCGCACTCAACGGTTGATAGGCAGAGCGAGGGAATATCAAACAAGATGGTTAATAGGCCAAGCAAGGGAATATCAAACAAGAGTGACTGTCTATCACACTCGACGGTTGATAGGCCAGGCCAAATGCGGGAGTATCCAAACAAGAGTGACTGTCTATCACACTCGACAGTTGATAGGCCAAGCGAGGGAATATCAAACGAGTGACAGTCTATCGCACTCGACAGCTGCTAAGCCAAGCAAGGAAATATCAAACAAGAGTGACAGTCTATCGCACTCGACAGCTGCTAAGCCAAGCAAGGGAATATCAAACAAGAGTGACTGTCTATCACACTCAACGGTTGATAGGCCAAACGAGGGAGTATCAAACAAGAGTGACTGTCTATCACACTCGACAGTCGATAGGCCAAGCAAGGGAATATCAAACAAGAGTGACAGTCTATCGCACTCGACGGTTGATAGGCCGAGCGAGGGAATATCAAATCATCAAGTGTGTGTACCTTGGATATGTAGGAACTGTAGTCCAAGCGTAGTTAACAGAGCCCTTGAATACTTGGCGGCAGTTTGTAACAATGTCTTCAATGATTTTCATGTGAAGCCAAATGCTCTCTGCTTGAGTACACACGACACCTCCCGGTCGAAGAGCTTTGGCGACCGAAGCAAAAAAAGGCTTCTCAAAAAGCTCTTGTGCAGGACCTGTAAAATTACGATTGATTTTCATTTTCTCAAAAAAATCCAGCATATAATTCCATGTTTCTCTTCAAATGAAACAGAGATGCAATTACCAATAGGATCAGATGAGTCCACTATAACAGCATCATAAGTGCCTTCAGGAACAGCCTTTAGAAATGCAACGCCTGCAACACACGAACCACACCGACAAATGCAATTTAGCTACTAAATGGAAAGAGGAGGTCGTGGGGGAGCTGATGAGAAAATGATCGATCATATACCATCACCGACGTGAAGTGTGACACGAGGATCCTCGAACCCAATAGCTACGCGAGGGAAAAATTCTTTGGAAACCTGCAAAAGTAGAGGCAGGCAATAGTATTCAATCATAAATCAGAAGAGGTTCCTAAGATATGAGCACCTCGAGTATCATTATATCATGTTCATACTCGTAAAAGCCAAATAACCAATAGTCCTGGAAAGCTACTACTTACGTCAACTACCATCTTGTCGATTTCACAGATATCTATCTTCTCAACAGATGAATGGCGAGCTACCTCTCGCAAGACACCGCCATCTCCTCCACCGATAACTAGAACCTGATAACAGTAATTCAGTGAGAAAACAAGAAAACACCAACCGACATGGTACTCAAAAATCCTAATCTCATGTGAGTGTTTGAACAAAAACCTACGTTCAAACATAGTCAACATGAACATAGTTTAACGGTTAAAGTACATTATCTAATAGATTTTTCCGTTATAGTACTCCATCCAAGAGTTATCCGTATTTATCAAGTTGTTCCTATCTAACGGAATGCTATTGGATCAGATGACAAAGATATCGTTGAGAAAGATGGCTTTCCCAGATGAAACAAAAATTTGATTCATGTAACAAGATGTATCCAATTTCTTGGACGAAAAAAATATATGGCCATGAAATAGGGATTAAGTGGTAGAGTCGTGAAAACTCCCGTTTCTTCCATATTTTGGACCTTAGCTCCATGAAACAATATACTACTTCCGAAACATGGAAGAATTGAAATCTTAGATCAAAACATTATGTATGGATGATATGAACTGCCTAAACAAGATTCATGAAGAACAAACAACTAGAGTTATTAAGCACGCCAAATGAAATGTTTGTTGCTATCTGTTACAATAACAAATCATTGGTTTAACTGAAAAATTAAATAAAAATAGATAGACCCTTCTCTTCGTCGACCTAGTCGACGGATCTTCTCTATTGAAAGATCCCCTATATAAATAATACACATTCCAATTCAACGAGCCTAATTCTATAACTTACGGCTCCAAATGCACTAGAGATTAACCTTTTTGGGGTTTGGAATTGAGCAAAGTGGAAGGTGAGTGATCATCTCTTGGTAAGCACATTCATCTCTCTCTGTTAACTGAATCACTCCATCCAAGACCAGAACCTTCCCATAAGTTGATGACTGCAGGGCACATAAACTCCATCAAGATCAAAATCCACAGTACAAAGACACAATCTAACATAAAATCAACCCTAAAATAAGAACACCTGAAAAACCATAACATTCTGGTAATCAGATTTCCCTTGGAACAGAATCTTTTCCACCTTCAAGGAGTGCGCCTCTCCTGCAAACATCAAACAATATGATTTTCACTACCGGATTCTATGTTCATCATCTAACAAAATCCATCAGCCAAACACGATCGAAATGATGAGAATTAGGGATTAGCGACACGAAAAAAGAGAAAAAAAACTCACCCGGCCACATTTGGCTGATTTCAGAAAACCATCCAGGAATCACAGAGGAAATACCATCGGACTCTGAGGCGGAGACCCCATTTTCCTGTTTCTTCGCCACCGCCGCCGCCGCCATAATAATCCCTCTTTCGAATCCCAAAACCCCAAATCCGCTTTAAAGGGGGAAGCGAGTGCTTCTCGCAATGAGGCGTTTGGATGCGAGCACTAAGCGAAACGAGCCGATTCTTTCTCCATTTATATAATTGCAAAAAAGTTCCGTGAAAGGATTCGCTTTAAAGATAAGAACAAATTCTCGCCTCGATTTATGTTCTTGATTTTTCATCATGTTTTTGTATGGCTACCGAATATTATATCTTTTTTTACTCCAAAAAAATATATTAATATTAATCCAATTAATTTTTTTTTTTTTTTTGTTGGATTACAGTGATATACATTCAACCCCGACAACCCGACCAATCCACAACTGGGTTGTATTGGATTAGATTTTCAGGTTGGTTTGGGTTCATTTTTTCTGAACCCGAACTCAATGGATTGTATTGAGTAAATTCTCAAGCTTTGAAAAATATTTAAGAGATCTATTGACATGTTATATAACTGATGTATTTTGTATTTTCAATTATATATTAAAAATATATATTTTTTAAAAATTACGAGTTCGTTAACCCGTAGTATTGTCAACATAAACGTTGAGCCGTTTGGGTACGTCCAAAAATTTGAATTTTTAACTAAAAAATTAAAATTTATAGATAAATTCAATAATTTTTTAAATAATAAAATAAGTTAAAAGACTTAATTACGAAAATAAACTAAAATTAAAATTTTAGAGATTTATTGCTCTTAGATATTAAAGGTGTAGAATTAAAATTATTATTTAATTTTTAGTTGATTTTTTAAAAAAGAAAATTATTTTAAAAAGATTGTGAAAATAATCTTCATAAAAATATAAATTGCAATTTTATTTCTCTCTCATACACAATGACACGTCAGCCCTATTTTAAAAAATTGGTATGACAACGACCTATCAAATTTTTTGGTTTTTTTTTTTTTTTTTCATTGCAAAAAAAATATTGTGGAATGCCTCGAGCACATCAAACACCACGGCTCGAATGCTCGAATCAATCTAGACTTGTTTAAAGTATATGGAATGGAACACCTTGATCATTACCTAGCCGAACAATGCACGACAGTTGAAGATGATTGAAGGTGGGAGCCTATTCGATCGAACAGACCTACATGTCCTATCACGAAAGATATGAGATATGCATCGAGAGAAAGCGGTATAAATATGAGGATCAACCTCGAAACAGAGGTACTTAATCCTTTACTTGTACTGATTTAGACATCATGGTGTGTTGGACGTAGCACCATACCGATACTTGAATTATTCTCTTGTTAGTTCACAAATCATCACTCAACAACTAGAATCTAGTGCCAACATTTGGCATCGTTTGTGAGAACGAATTGCAAATACTGTATCTATTTTTGCACGGTCAAGACTCTAACAAAGAGTGAGGAGACAATGCGTTAGTCAGTGCAACTAGCGACCATACCGAAGATCCGAACAAGTGCCTCCACCGAAAAAGTACAAGCCTCGAAAAACAGTTACCCTCCACCAATACTCAATGGTAAAATTATGAGTAAGTTGGAGGTCGTGAAACGAACAATGACCCACTAGCTCTTGTTAAAAATTTAGAAGGGACGTTTTAAACGAATAACCTAAATGATATTTGGCCAATTCTAAAATTAAACCAAATCAGAGCATATAATATAATCAAAACTATATAATATAATTTCATTTATCATTTTCCATGTGTGACAAGATATTCCCTTTCCTTAAAGCATATAATATAAAATAAATTATCAAACTTTTTCTGAATTTCTCCACTTTATTTGATACTAAAGGTCATAGTTGACTAAAATAAATCATATTCTTAATTTTACTTTTATTTTTATAATTAAAAACCGCATATATTCATATACGAAAAGAAAAGAGCATTTTGATCTAAAGTATGGTCCTTCACATGGCTCAAAACAGACTAGTTGATACACGAGATCGAGATATGAAATCGTGAAGAGTCTGTAATACCTTAATTGGTATCAGAGTTAATGGGTTGGTCACGGGAGTAATGTATTCCCATGTATCACTAATACTCGAAAACAAAAGTAGTTGATACCCTCGAGTTTTTCTCGTCCATGAATTACAAAAAAAAAAAAAAAAAAAAAAAAAAAAAAAAAAAAAAAAAAAAAAAAAAAAAAAAAAAAAA